ATTGCTCCCAGTATATTATAGATACAAAGTGTGTGTGTGTGTGTGTGTGTGTGTGTGTGTGTGTGTGTGTGTGTGTGTGTGTGTGTCTGCCCAGTCACACATTTGGAGGTGGGATTGGCACCTTCTAAACTCCCTAATCCCTCTTAATTCTAGTTCATTCCTTCTTAATTATTTCCTTTTTATCCTGCATATGGCTTGTTTTGTATGTATTTGTTTGCCTTAGATAGTGACCTTCTTACAGTCAGAGACTGTCTTTTGCCTTTTCTGGTATCCCCAGCACGTAGCACATAGTAGGTGCTTAATCAATGTTTATTGACTATGAATGGATGAATTTCTGGGAGGCTACTTGAAGGACTTTGTGCAGTTAAATAAAGACAATTCCACAATAATATGTAGAAAATTAAGAGACTCTATAACCCATGACTTTCATTTACATTTATATTAAATAACTTTCACAACATTCAATCACATTGTCACATTCACCTTTAAAAGTCAGAAAATACTTTATGCTTTTGTTTTAAAAGATACTCTGCCATCTTAAAGAAAAAGAGGTATGGTTTTGTAACATTAGCTATAAAGTAATGATCTAGTCTGAAGTTGGAATGAGTAAAAGTCAGAAGACTCCAGGTTTCAACCTGAACTGACCCACTTTATGGTGTGTAGGTAGGTTTCTCTCTTCATAAAACGGAGATAAAAATATACCATTTTTTTTCCTGTCCTATCTGCCTCACAGTCATATTATAAAACCAAATGAAAGAATGAATGTCTCCATATTTGGAACTATAAAAGCAGCAGCCAGCTAAGTGGTGTAGTGCCTGAAGGGTTGGACTCGAAATTTGAAAAACCTAAATACTAATCCCAACTTGGACACTTATTTTCTATATAACCTAGACCAAATTGTTAGCCTCAGTTTCCTTAATCTGCAAAATGGGCTAATAGCTGCATCAAATGAGTCATCAAATGCCAGCTATCATTATTACTTGGCCAATTTGCCAACATTTCCATCTGTGGGAAAACAAGGTCATATCATTTAATTCTCCCCTTAGCTTTTCAGAAAGAAAATCCTGTGTGAATTCAATGACCTATAATAGATCTACTTTTAAAATACAGGCTTTAGAGAAATATAGAAGAGCAAGTGATTTTAAATGAAGTCATCCACTGTGGTGGTGAAATCTCTGTCAGACAATAAACATTTATTAAACATCTACACAATGCCAAGCACTGTGCAGTATTAAAGAGAACATTGCATTATAATGGAGTATCTATCCTTTTGTGTAATAAGAATTAATACTGAAGGGGGGGCAGCTAGGTGGCACTGTGGATAAAGAAGAAAATTTGAATTCAAATCTGGCCTCAGACTTACTAGCTATGTGACCCTAGGCAAACCACTTAACCCTGTTTGCCTCTGTTTCCTCATCTGTATAATGAGCTGGTAAAGGAAATAGCAAACCACTCCAGTATCTTTGCCAAGAAAATCCCAGATGGAGTCAGGGAGAGTTGGACGTGACTGAACTGAAATTTCTATTTGTTCTAACATACTACACTGAATTTATAAAATATTTCTTTAATGAATGACAAAACACAGTCCCTGAACTATTTCATACAATCTCAAGGGATCCCAGGGACCTAGAGGAGTGTAATTTTTGTAAAAATTTCAATAGGGTCTATAGGCAAAGCTTTCCATATCTGTGTTTAAAATTATTTCTGGTCAAGTTTTAATTGGTATCTCTTTTGCTTGAATTTAGTGAAACTATTTGTCTTTTATAAGACAAGTGGTTAGGTCAGTCGAATTATAAGAAAAAAATGGAACTGAAAGGAGTATGATAGAAAAGGACTTTTTAAAATTTCTTTTTTTTAGAACGAGTTATAGATTTGAAGAATTCTAAAGCTGAAAGGGCTCTGAGAGGAAAATTTCAATTTACAAATGAGGAAACTGTAGCCCAAAGAAAAGGGGTGGCTTAACCTTTTCTGTTGGGCATCAGTGGATAGAGCTCCAAATCTGGAGTCAGGAATGTGTTCAAATCTGGGACTCAGACACTTACCAGGCGTGGCCCTGGGCAAGTCACTTAACCCTGTTTACCTCTGTTTCCTCGCCTGTAAAATGAGCTGGAAAAGCTAATGGCAAACCACAACAACAAAACCTTTTCTGTGTTATGGACCCCTTTGGCAATCTGGTAAATTCTATGGACCCCTTCTTAGAAAAAATGTTTTTAAACAGTTGATGGAAATGCTAAATTTCAGGTAGAGGTCCAAGAAAATAAACATGTAATTTTTTTTTCAAATTTCACAGGCCCACCAGGTAGGTGAAATCTGCCCACTATCTGAACCCTTGCCATCAAGGTTAAGTAATTTATGATTAGAAAATCACAGACTATGCAGCTAGAAAGAACATTTGAGGTCTAATCCACCCAATTCCATTTTTTTCAATCATTTTTCAGTCATGCTGGACTTTTTGTGACTCCATTTGGAGTTTTCTTGGCAAAGATGCTGGAGTTGTTTACTGTTTCCTTCTCCAGAGCATTTGACAGATGAGGAAACTGAGGCAAAAAGGGTTAAGTGACTTGTCCAGGTTCACACACCTAGGAAGTGTCTGAGGCTGGATTTGAACTCAGGAAGATGAGTTTTCCTAACTTCAGGCTTGGCACTCTACCCACTGGGCCACCTAGCTGCCCTCAACTCCATTTTACAGATGAGGAAATTGAGTCTGAAAAGCAGTGAAATGTCTTTCCCAAGGCCACACATACATATTAAATGGAGGAGACGGGATTCAAACACTGATCCCCTGCCTTCAAATGTGGCCATTTCCTCACCTACCTCACAGGACTGTTTGGAGGCTCAAGTGGGAAAATCTTTGTAAAGCAGTTGGCACAGGGCCTGGAACATAGTAGGTGCTTAATAAATGCTAGGCCTTGTCCTTGCCCACCCCCTTCCCTTTTTACACTGTTGTATTCTGTGTGCAAGTTGATTTCAGTAGTGAGACCAAACCTAGAAGCCAGGCCTTCTGACTCACTCCTGTCCTCTTTCTAAGACACTACTACCTCCCATGCTGTTGCTTTCCAGGTTATCTAGGCTGGGAGAAACATGTGCATCTGAACAGTGAACCAAGAACCATCCCATAGGTTGGTCTTGGCTTAAATTGTGATATTGATTTAAGTAATTTATTTATTTATTGACTTAGTGACTCAGAAGAAGCCCCAGCCTTCCCCACCCCCCCAAAAAAAAGGGAAGGAGAGAAAAAAAGGAGAAAAGAGGGAGAGAAGTCAAGAAATAGAGATGAAAAATAGGCAAAGATAATAGGAAGTTTAGGAAGGAGGATTAAGAGACACACTAAGACTGGACAAGATCTGAAGTCCCCTTATCTGAACAACAGGTCAAACAAGAATTGATTAAGCACCTACTAAGTGCAAGGCTCTGGGGATACAGATGAAATAGTTCCTCTGAGAAGAGACAACTTTATATATTAAATGGACACAAAATAAATACAAGATGAGTATACCACATAGAGATCTGACCTTGGAATTGGAAAGACCTGCTTTCTAGGCTGGCCTCTGACACCCTGCCTGTGCGTGCCAAGCAACTCTTAGACTATAACCTGCAGAACAAGTGCCAACCTACATTGGTGGAGAGCTATTTCCTTATTGGGAACTCCCTGTACCAATGAAGTCACAGGTGAGGCCAAAAAAAAAACTTAGGGGGTCCATCTCTTTTCCCTATTTTCCCTCCATTTGTCCTTCATTTTAAGATTACGTTTAGAATTGAAATGGCCCTTAAAGACTGCCTACTCCACCTTCTCGTGTTACAAATCAATCAGAAGCATTTCAGGCCCATTGGGTACTAGGAACTGTGATGGATTTTGGGGGTACAAAGACAAAATAAAAGCGAATGGGGAAAGTGAGACCTAGGGAAGGAAGGAGTCTAGCGCACAGACTTCCCAAATGGTCATTTGAAAACAATCAGAATGCTAATCAGTGTCTTTTGTGTTCGTTTTCTGATTTAGAAGGGGCAGAGGGTCTGGTCTTGGGAGAGCGCCGGCTTTTGCTTTTGTTTATTAGTGGTTTGCCCAATCCAACCTTTCCAAGCTTTTAAAATGAAAGCATCAGCCTTTAAAAGACGTACCCGATCCCAAATCGTCTCCCCAATTTAAGGACCAAATGAATTATTTTTGCTTGCTTGTTTGTTTGTTTGGAAAAGTACCGGTAATGTAATATCATTGGGCCATAAGAAATGATGACATGGCCAATTTCAGAGGAAACTGAGAAGGCCTTTATGAAATGCTGAGGGAAGTGAGCAAAACCAGAACAATTTATACCATGATAAGTGTTGGTGAGAAAAACAACTTTGCAACACTTTAGACCGCAGATTAACGCAAACGAAGGACAATGAAACGCACCACTCCCCTCCTGACAGAGAGGTGATGAACTTTAAAAAATGCAGAAAAGGCCATACATTTTTGGACGTGGCTAATGTGGAAATTTGCTTTGCCAGACTATGTAAATAACGTATGGTTTATCATTATTATTATAATTATTTGTTCAGGGTTTGGGGAGGTATTTCAAAGGACAGATTTATTTTTAAAAACTTTTTACATGAAAAAAATAAATTAACACAAGGAAAAAAGTTACAGGCAAAGCAGTCCTTTGGTTCCTAGCTAAGGTAAGAGATAGATACTGCATTACTAGTCGAACAGGTCAGCTCCGGGAGTCTACACTTCTTTTCGGGTACACCCAGGCCAGCAAAAACAGCCCGAGGCAGGTACACGGAGGAGGAAGTGCACACCTTCACTAGTAAACTGAGTAGAAGAGGAGGTGCTTTCGGCCAACAGGAGGTGGCCAGCCCAGCCCTCAGCGCCCCGGATGGAGCAGTCTCCCCGCCTGCTCCAACGCCCGGGCAGGTTTGGGGGGGCGGTGTTTGTGTTGGGGAGAGGCTCCCTCCATTGGTTCGGCTCCGTCGAGGGGCGTGGAGGGGCGGAGTGAGCCGCGAACCTACCGGAAAGGTGGGGGGGGGGGCGGTGCGCGCCTGCACTCGGCGGGGTTTGGTGCACAGTGTGGCATCCCGGGCTCCTGGACGCTCTCGGCGCGTCCGCCTCCGCGCATTGTTCTCGGGATCAGCGGCTCCGAGTGGCGGCGGCTCGCCCAAGCCAGGTACCCCGAGACCCCGGCTCTGTGGAGGTCGTCCCTCCTTCCCCCGGGAGAGAAGAGAGAGGAAGGGCCTCCTGTGCGGATCGCTCTAGCTGCTCACTGCGCCCCAGGGGCCGGTGCGGATGGAGGGACTTTGGGAGCCTGGTTCCTGAGATTGCGCTTGCTTGAGGCTGCTCCCTGGGATTGAGAAGCAGCAGCAGCAGATCGAGACAGGCGGAACGAAGAAGTCCTCTGGTTTCTCACTGGTGAAAAGCGTCACGCCTCCTTCCCCTAAGAAAATCCCCTCCAAAAGGAGCGAGCGGGGAGCAAGCGAGCGCACAGACTTGTGAGCGGGCTGCTGCTGCTGGAAAGGATTGAGTCATCTGTCTCACCTGGTGTTTAAGGTTGGTTCAACTACATGTACCTTGTTTCCCATCCCAACAGGTGCCAAGTGCTGCTGGCCTAGACCTGAACTAGGCAGAAAGCAGCTTTCTGGGGTTTACCACTTGGATCTCCCCGCCCTCCCCCACTTTGAGAGAACCCCCCCCTTCGGGTCTTTGTGACATCCGCATTGTTTTTGTTTTAGCTCGACCTCCCTCTCCTCTCCCCCCATCCTCAGTGCAGCTGCCTGCCTCCCTCCCTTCTTTCTCCTTGGTGGGTGATTGTTTTGCTGTGGTTGCAGGTGAGCAAAGTGCCATTATGTGGCAGGACTAGCAACAGTGAAAATGGATAGCCGTAGGATTTGGGGCTCGGGAGGAAGCGGGGAGCTTCTTTTCTGCTCAGTGCTTTTCCCAAGAATAACTATTCATGTTGTTGATTGGTGGTTTTCATATATGAATTCTGAGGGGGGCAACCACTTTAGGGCATTCATCTGTATGACCTAGAATATCTTTCTCGCCAATCTGACCATTTAAGGTGTCATGTGCCCCTAAGATGGGCATACCTCATAGCTCTAGAGCTGGTAAGGATTCAGAGACCAGCAAGTTTTTACCCCCCGCCCCGACCTCCCTACAACACACACACACACAAACTCAACCACACGCCCACACACACTACATTTTACGCTTGAGGAAACTAAGGCAACTAAATTCCTCGGCCAAGGTCACCCAGGTAACAAACATCGGAGGTGGAATTGGAACCAAGGTCATTTGTTTTTAACTCCACAGCTGGCGCTCTAGCCACTGTGCCACACCAACTCCCATGTGCCCAGTGAAGAGAGCCCGGAGTTGGTCTTAATTGCGCAAACAATGTAAACAATGGCTGGTACCCGACAGAGGAGAGGAATGGGGCCCGGGGATACATGGGGAGTCCTTCCAACCTCTAAGAACTACAACTCTGACCACCTTAGAAAAGAAGCGATTTCAACCGGCTGGTCTGAAGTGCTGGAAGCAGGCCCAGAGATACGGGAAGAGAGGGCTGAGAGCTGAGTCACGGGGTTACTATGCCTTGTGTGTACACGCATACCATCTCCACGGACTCCACTAGCACCTGCACAAAATAGAGAGGACACGTGGACTTCCTACACACCTGCTCTGTAGGTCTGCTCTGTGGAGTCCTAGTTTCCAAGGAGCTTATCTCCTCCGTGTGTGTACATAGGGATTTAGTGCTGGATGGGGGTGTAAAGTGTGTGTGACCAGGGTGGTTAAAAGGAAAGGAGTGGGGGAATGCTATTGTGTTCACCTCTGGATGGTGATATGTGGAGCTAGATACATTTTCAGCAAGTCATTTTTCCTACCTCCACAAAAATAGTGCTTAGAGCAAAGCATGTGATAATCACACACTAGTTCAGAAGCTAGGGGAAGTTGAACTGTGGTGCTATTTGCGTGCAGAGAAACAGGAAATATTCTCAATTGACATAAATAAAAATGTTGGAGAAAATGATTGTCATGATTTGGGAGGAAAATGACGAGTAAAAATGTGATTTACTAGTTCATGGAATCATAGAGTTGGAATGGAGCCCAGAGGGCCCCAATCCAACTCCCTAACCTGTATACAAATTCCCTAGATGTCTTGAACCCACCCAGAGGCTAGGTTCCCCACCCCTGTTCTAGCCTCTGAACCCCTACCTCAGTAGCAGCCTATTCATTGCTGGAAAGTTCTATTCAAAGTACTTCTACAATGCACTTGGGTTTCAGAAGCTCTTGCTGCACCAGTTTATATCATAAAATAAAAGTTGAATCTGACTGATTTGGACACTTTGGGGGACATATTATAGGGTGTCCTCCTTTCTATGACTGGGGCCAAGTGAAGAGGTCCAGAGCAAGGTTGTGTTCCAAACTATAAGCTCTATGAAGGCTGGAGCCTGCTTCCTATGTAAGCTTTACTCTCACTCTGTTTTTAGCAAGTGTTGGTTGTAGGCACTGAGGAAGTGTTTTTTAATTGAGTGAAGCAAATGTTTCCTGGCATGGTCTTATAACCTTTACTTTAGGTTATAAAGCAAAGATCAGGAAAGTGGTCATTGAGCAGTACGCTTCTTATTCCCTTATATCCCTTGGCTTTGGTGACATTTCTGGTAGGTAAATTTTGTATCGTCATTGGATTTCTGTTAATTCAGGGCTAATGTTATTAACTTCTTGGCATTTACCTTCTGCCACATTTTTTTCGATGTCCTTTCCTGTTTTAACCACTGATCCCATTAGAATGTCATGGTCTGAATATTCCCATCATAATTATAAAAGGCATTATTCAGCTTCATTGCAGTGACAGGTAATATATATAACTTGGAAGGTCACAAAGACACAAGATCTTACCTAAGAGTCTGTGCTGTTTCAAACAATAAGCAAAGCATACTAATGTGACCAAAAAAGGGGGGAGGGGAATCACAAAACTTTAAAACAAAATATTTAATATTTGACAAAAAGAAAAATAGTGTAGGGTGATGTACCTAGCTTTCAAGGAGTCTCTTGCCAAATAGGATGGGGGAGGGGGGAAAGAAACCCTGATCTAGTGAGGCTTCTTACAGAAAATGGGATATGGATGGCTGGAAAAGGAAGGTGTTGGGTGGAGGAGGATTTTGTAGACATTGAGCCTTGCTTATAAGGGGGATTTGGAAGTAGAGAAGAAATTAATCATTATCCTAATGATGCAACTTTGTCTAGGGTTTTACATTTTACAAAGCACTTTCCTCACGGTAGTTCCATTTCACAGTTGAGGACGCTAAAGCTCAGAGGAGACTACGTGGGATATGTGTGATCAGAAAGCTCTTAAGTGGCCCAGCTGCTAAGTGTCAGAGCTGCTTCGGCCCAGGTCTGATTCCAGATCTAGCGCTCTTACTTCTAGAGTGGAAAGTCTGAGTGGTGTGGAAGGCCCCTAGCTGGAGGGCTTTAAGGAAGAGGGGGCAGGTGTGTACCTTGATCCAGAGTGTAATGAATGGGAAGTCATCACAGAAGACTTGGCTGGTTTTTGGTAGAGTATTAGGTTAAATGAGCCCTGTCTTTTTTGTTTATTTTAAAATCCATGACTTTGCATATAATTAATGGTTGAATCTAAGAGTCTTCTCTTTCCTTCTGAAGCTTCACCCCCCAAAAAAACATTTAAGGGATTAATATTCCTCAGTTTTGATGTTCTCAAAATGATAAATAAAATAATAATGATGATAAAAATGACAGGGAGAGAGACAGAGAAAGGGAGAGAGATGGAGAGAGATAGAGAGAGAGAGACAGAGAGAAACCATGCTGACTGAGAGAATCAGGCCACCTGACTTTGGGGCCTGGTCAATAAAGTAAACCATCCAGAAACATTGGCCACTCAGTAATTGTGTGAGTAAACAACTGAACAACAACAAAAAATTGTGTGAATTTGGGTGCAAATCACTTCTCTTTTTCTTAACCCCTCTGTAAAATAAGAGGTGTTGGACTAAATTCAATAGACCCCTCTGGCTTTGTGATCCTGGGGTCCATTTTCCTTACTGCCAACCCATACATGTAGAGGAAGATGAAGTAGGAATTAGGGTGGGAGTCTTAGGGAACCCTGATTTGTTCTGGGGGAGGGAGAGAAGGCAACAAGAATTGGAAAGCATAGTTGTCCAATGACCTTGTAGATTCGGTTTAGTTTTAAATGAGTAGAAGAAAACAGAGAAAAGCATTTGCATTTGAAAGCTAAATATATCAATAATATATAAAACTTTGGAAACATGCCCTCTTCCTAACTGCCTTTCCTTCTCCTGCACCTTCATTTTTCATTCTGTAAATACATTTAAAGAGCATGTCAAGGGGCAGAACCTTCAGAATCTAATTTTATTTTGGTTTAAGGCACGTAGGAAGCATTCATTTTGAGGTGTCCTTCAGAGGACTAGTCTAAATTCCTTATTCATAGAGATCACTATTGTTAAATTTAAATATGAAGTATCTTTAAATACTGTGTATTTGCCAATATTTGGATGTTATTCAACTGTTCCACGTAGAGGGACTTTTTAAACGTTAGGTTATTTAAAATCTATCTTAGAATCAGAATTCATTTAGCAAAGCATCCCTTTGCAGGGTTCTCTAGGAAAAGAAAAATGTGTGATGTTTATAAAATGTTATAGAATGTATGAGAGCATAAAATTTGAGGGAGAGTAAACAGGGAAAATGAATCTTTAATTCAAGAAGCTTGTTTGGAGGGGGCATTTTAAACAGGTTTCTCCATGTTCCGTAACTGTAGTAAGTGTTACATAACACACTGAGATAGAAATAGAAATTCCACCTGCCACTAAGAGCCATTACTGAATTTTGTTTTCCCAGTACGATGAATAGTCTTCAGAGAAGAACTTGTTTTATCAAAGGGGGTCATCACTGTGTTTATTTTTTTTCCACATGACTGCTCTGGCTTGAACCTTTCACTGGCTTTGACCGCAGTTGTCCCAAGTACTCGGATCCATTTTTAAAAATCAGAAGATAAGTTATTCTCCTGAGAAAATGGAATATTCCACTTTCATAAAAGATGGGTATCCAGTGAGAACAAAGGGCAGTGACTGTCCTCACCCAGTGTACTTTCCAAACAATATATCACGTGACTTAATCTTTCATGAATACTCCTTAAGGGCACAGAAGGCAATTTCCAAAACATTTGATCCGGAGATAGATTGCTTGTTTTTGCTTTTCTAATCAGCCTGTTGCAATGGTGAAACCCAACATTTTGAAACGATGAGGAGGCAAGGATCCACCTAGTGAAGGAGCCTGGGTACTGCAGTGAATCTGAAATTGCTTAACAAGATTTTAATCCTCTTCTAGGACTTGTTAGCTGTATTGAAATAAAAGATATACTCCTTCTTACATAGGTTTTAACACTGGAAAGAACACTTGCTTGGAGGCAAGGATCATATTTGGTCTACTCTCAATTATCAAGTATTTACTAAAGCCCTGCTATGTGCTTCATGCTCGGAGGCAGCTAGATGGTTCAGTGGCCTGGGATCAGGAAGACCTGA